AAAATAAAATAAAATAACCTACACATGGAGAGATGGGCACCTGCATAATTAGAGAGCTAGGTGAATTGTCACAAATTGGAAAAACCCAGGTAACCAGCATCCATTTTGAGAAAAAAGACATGACCCACGTGCCAGGCCACTCCTGTCTCCACCACCCCAAGTAACCACGATCCTGAAGTCAACTGCACAGACTAGTTTTCTCTGTTTTTGTACTTTATGCAAATGGAATCATTTGTCACATTTTCCTGTATCTGGCTTCTTTTACACAATCTTACCTTTGTGAGATTTATTCATATTATTGTGTATAGCTGTAGATCTTTATTCTCAGAGCTGTATGGTATTCTGTTTTCTTCTGCCCTAAACCCAATAGAATTAGAACCAAAGAAAAAATGTGGAGGAAGAGAACAGAGCAGGCCATGCTGACCTCACTGCAGCCAGGGGTCAAGCCTCAAGTTCCGAGAGCAGAGAAGAGAAGCGCAGATGGAAGTTTTAAACAGGGCTGCACTGAGATTTACTTAATAACTGAACGTGGCCCAGAGGTTTTGTGGTTTTCTTTCCAAGATGAGTGTAAGGTGATAAGCCCAGCATCCCTCCAAAGGACCTCATCAATACTTACGCCTCTTTGCTTTTCTTTGATACTCTTTCCTCTCCCCCTTGCTCCACTTAGAAAATGTCTGTTTTCTCTCAGGTAGGCAGACTTGTATTATTTCATTGTATCATCTCCTAAATCTTGAGTTTATGCCAGATGCTTTCATTTGTCTATAAGGCTGAAACTTTTGAAACAAAATGGAAAGAAAGGCATCTTTATTTTCTTTTTCTGGCTATATGGCCTTTCCTTGAAGTGATGAGCAAAGAATCCAACTGGATGAATGGAGGAAAGATCATGTGGCTTAAAAAAATGAAGAAAAAGCAAAACCTCTGTTAATATTGCAAAAATTATCCTGTCCCACATGGAGATCATTCCGAAACCACAAATGACCAAAATTGGTTAAGTCCTCTCTGTAACATCATGATCACATCTAAGCTGTTCTCCTCCATATCTGTAAAGTGACTTTACAAAAGCGGCTTGGTGGACTTGCCTGGTGTGTGAATGAAGGCATTCACGTGTTTAGTCACAAGAGGAGGCTGCTGTGTCTGTCAATAACACCCCTGATCAGTTGGAGAAAGACTAGTTGGCTCATATTCAGTATTGACGTTGTGCAGAAACTGTGACAAATGATATATTTCATTCTCTTCGTTATGAGCAGAACAGTCTGTACACAGCTTCCAAAGTTCAATGATTCCTGGCCTTGTTCCAATTTATTATGAAAGCTTTTCTGTCCACTCAAAATAGGATGACACAGGTGGAAGACAAGAAGTGGTTATGCAGCTTTCAAGCTTAATTGATCTGTATTTGTCAAACTTTTGTAATGATACAGAAAGGTAGAATTTTTTTGGTGGGAAGGAAATTATTTTCCTCAATCTATTTCAGTTTTCCTTAATTTGAGAATATAAGAAAAAGTGTTCAAGGCTATTCCCTTTTTTCTTGCACTGCCTTTCTTTTCCTCCCTCCTTTCTCTTCTCCTCTGCCAGTCAGCTCTGTGTGTGCGTGTGACCACTAGGCACACATGGAGAATGAAGAAAGGTGGGTTATGAACAGGGTTTGTGGACGAGCGCCATTCCAGACCTCTTGTTTCCTTTATACCAGGACGTGCAGTCTATACATGCCCTCCTAGAGAGACATGACTCCTAGAGACATTTTAGGAGACCAGAGATTCGGGAACCTTGGCTTCCAGATCAGACTTAACCTTCCCAGTCACTTTGAGCACATCACCCTCTGCATCCAAGTCTCATTTGCTCTTTCTTGTCATTTAGCTGGGCTTTCTCCATCCTCTCACGACGGTATAAGACTTGGTGGTTTTCCTGAATGTAAACAAAAGTCCTTTGAGCTCCTCAGAGCATCGGATGACCAGTAAGATACATTCTTTCTCTTGAATTGTGAAAAAGCAATGAGAAAAGTGTTCTGGGTGGATGCTGTCTTTGTTTTCTTCTTTCAGACTCAGCCCCATAGAGTTTAAAGCTCATAAATACTCTTGAGGGAACCCCTGCGTTGAGAATGGATGCCTGTTTTATCTTTTCACCCTACTTCCAGGGGCGTGTTTAAACCTGGGAAGGTGTGTCAACCAAGGAGCTACTATGTCACTGGCTCACTCTAGGCCTGGGGATTCTCCAGAGTGACAGCCGTCAAGTGAGGGGCTGTGCTGGGAGCGACTCAGCTGATGTGTCTGTGTTCTGTCGCCTCCCCCAACCCAGGTGCAGACACAGAGGCTGAGCTAGGGTCCCTGGATTCTAGTGTCTGCTTGAAGTATGAGGCTGGTGATGGAGGTGTCTGTGCTCCTGACTCTGAGTGAGTGTTTTAATCCTAAGAAAGGATGGTGTTTGAAATTAGGGAATCAGAAGAGGGACCTGCTGCCTCCACTTGTCTCCCTGTCCTTCAACCAAGATGCTTAGAGCAAGAGTTCAGATCACACCTGTCTACTTCATGAGGAAGTCACATCCTCAGTGTGAGAAGCTGCATCATATCCAGTATATTAGTCTGCTAGTCCTGTCATAACAAGTACCACAGACCAGGTGACTTAAACAACAGAAATTTGCTTCACAGCTCTGGAGGCTAGAAGTCTGAAATCAAGGTGCTGGCAGGGTTGGCTCCTTCTGAGGGCTGTGAGGGAAGGATCTGTTCCAGGCTCCTCTCTTTTACTTGTAAATGACCGTCTTCTCCCTGTTTCTCTTCACATTATCTTCCTCTTTGCTCATCTCAGTGTCCAAATTGCCCTTTTTGTAGGAATGTCAAACATATCTGATTAGGCTTATCCTAATGACCTCATTTTAACTTGGTTACCTCTATAAAGACTAGGGGTTGGGATTTCAACATATGTATTTGAAGGGGACACAATTCAGCCCATAACCCTCAGTGATCACAGACGAGCTTTCCCTGCTATAAAGAATTTCTTATATTCATTGAGCCCAAGGGAAAATGAGAGAAAGCAATGGAGTCTTGCTTTTTGACCAGTGAGTCTAGATAATTCCACCTATACTTTGCTCTTTCTGTAGGATGGAAATGAGAGAAACAGAAATAGGGGATGGGAGTTAGAGAGTAAAGTTCTAGAAGTACTGTACGTTGACCTTAAAAATCTGCCTCGAGTGTCTGGAGACAATCTTATATTTTCCCCCCTTAGGGATTGTGTGAATGTTAAGACCACACAACCCAACTCCTCAGACAGTGCTGAAGGACAAGAAGTGAGCCTACCCTGTTCCCAGTCCACCCTTAGAGGAAATGAGTACATCATATGGTATTGACAATTTTATAACCAAGGCTCACAATACGTAATTCGAGGTTTAAAGAACAATTTGACCAATAATCTAGCTTCACTGCCCATCCCTGTGGGCAGAAAGTCCAGTACCCTGACCCTGCACCAGGTTACCCTGGAAGACACCTCTGTGTATTATTGCACTGTGAGAGTGCACAGTGGGGCAGAGGGGGCATGCCTGTCTCCCTGGTCGGGGAGAGGAGATAACCTCTATTTAAAGAGGACATTACACAAAACACATAAGCTTAGTGGAAGAAGGTGGGAAAAAATAAGAAGAAGCAAAGAGAAAAATTAAGGAAAAGGTACATAAATCAAGAATCGGGCCAGGAAGGAAAAAGCAGAAAGAAGGAGAAAGCTGGACGCGCCCTTTCTCCAACCTAACATTCTTGTTCTTGTTCCAATGTGAAGTTTATAAACTGAACACTGTTCCTCTGAGAAATGTCTGAGTTCTCTCAGTGTTTTCAACTATAGCATGTGCATTAGAGAAATAGCTGAATCTTGAAAGTTTGCTAGAAAGGGACAATTAATATTTATTATTTCAATTTTTTCCTTAGTTTTCTATATAACCATTGTTCTCTATTTTTATGATTAAACAAGTTATAAGTTAATATTTACTTAGTTACTTGTTTAAAATTAAAGCAATTTTAAGCATATTAAGTAAAAAGTGATTTTCCTTGATTTGTCCCTCACAAGTTCTCAATTACTGCTAAAGGTTTAGTGAGCACTTCAACTGCTTAAATTCATTTACATACATATACATAATAAACACACTGTTTAAAAACATAGGTGGGATCACTCTTATACGTCAAATACTGTGATTTGATTGAATAAATAAGAGAAATCTTCGTAAGTCAGAAAATTTGAGTCTACTTATTCTTTTTCACAACTGAGTAGTATAACATAACATAGATCTACCAAAATGTATTGAATTATTGTATTAAAGGATGTTTAAAATTTTCCACTCTTTTTCCTCCTGCATACAATGTACAATTTTATACATGTATTTATAAAGGCATTTCTTAAAAAAAAATTCCCAGCCAAGTGGAATTTCTGGCATCCAATGATATGTAAACAACACCTGTAAATCTTTATTAGTTTGTACTTCAGCTATTGGATATAAGAGTGCCCGTTTCCTGACATCATCACAAACACTGAATATTAATATTATGATTCTTAACTCTTTTTGCCATCTGATGGGTGAGAAGCGATATGAAGGACTTTTTAAGAATGTGTGAGTTAAGGGAAACCAGTCCTTAATTAAGGGCTGAAGTGGCAAGAGGAGGAGCAGGTTTGGGAATCTGGAGAAAGCAGCTGTAACCGCAGAGTAAAAATCTAGATTTCTTCTTTTCTAATATAAGCGTTTGTGCTATACACTTCTCTCTATGCACGGATTTAGCTCCATTCTACAAATCTGATGTTTAAAAAATTGTTTTCCTTCAGGAGCAGGAGCAGAGACAAGTATTTCTGTCAACAGCTGGCTTGGTCTTGAGATGGCAGTGTTTCCATTTCCACCTCCCACTCTGCAGATCAGTGTGTTGTGTGTGTGTGTGTGAGTGTGTGTGACTGGTCTCTGATTGGGTGGTTCGACTCCGTGTCTCCTGTAGAAATGTTTGAACACTTGAGATAGCAAAGCAGACTCTTTATCTTGTGAGCCCTTATCAATATCACAGACACAAGAACAGTTCTCAGTGAGTATGAGTGACAGAAAGAATGGGCAAACCCCTGAGCCTGCTCATCCTTTGGTTACAGCTGGACTGTGAGTTAGAGGGATCTGGAAATGGGCAAAGATCAGGAAGACTCTGGGCCATTTCTCCCCAGGGAAGAGAGAGAAAGTTAGGAGTATGTGTGTGGTTTGTGGGAGTTTCTGTAGAGACTGAAAAGGTAAATTTTAAAACTAATTTCCAAAGAAGAATTAGCCACTAACCAGTCCCTCTCTCTGTGTTCTCTCTCTGAACAGGGGTGAGCAGTAAACAGGAGGTGGAGCAGAGTCCTGAAGCTCTGAGTGTCCTGGAGGGGGACAGATTGGCTCTGAACTGCAGCTACACTGATAGCGCTATCTACTTCCTTCAGTGGTTCAGGCAGGACCCTGGGAAAGGGCTCACTTCTCTGTTATTAATTCAGTCAAATCAGAGAGAGCAAACAAGTGGAAGAATTAAAGCCTCGTTGGACAAGTTGTCAAGACATAGTGCTCTGTACATTGCAACTTCTCAGCCCAACGACTCGGCCACCTACCTCTGTGCTGTGAGGCACAGTGCACAATGGGCACCTGTCACCAACACCCAAACTCTGTGGCTGGGGCTCCAACCACGTGCCGTCTTGAAGCTGAAGACCTTTCTCCATTAAGGGTTTTTTAAATAGACTCTCTCCAGATAGAATCAATTAAATATACATGACCTGATATAATGATCTGAAGTTAAATTGTGAATTCTTTGATCTTTAGATTTTTACCACCTTCAGTATAAATGATGGCTTTATTGAGATTAATTCACATGCCATACAGTTCACTCTTTTAAAGTGAACAATTAAGTGTCACCTAGTACATTCACAATGTTGTACAACCACCACACCTATCTAGCTTCAAACCTTGTTATCATCCCAAAAGGAAACCACATACCCATTAAGCAGTTCCTCACCATTCTCCCTCCCCCCAGCCCCTGGCAACCACGAACCTGCTTTCTGTCTCTATGAATTTACCTGTTCTGTACATTTCATATAAATGGAATCACACAATATGTGGTCTTTTGTGTATGGCCTCTTTCACTTGGCTTAATGTTTAAGAGGTTCATCCAAATCAGGACCCATGGGAGAAAGGCAAATATTCACCCCTAACCAATCACATAGGATGCCCCCCTTCTAGTTAGCCTGCCTACATCTTCCCCACTGTTTTCTTTGTCTGTTTTGCTAGATAGAAGTTTGTTAGTTTACTGACCTTTTTAAAGATCCAACTCTTTGTTTTATTGATTTTCTCTATTTTTTATTTTTAATTTCATTGATTTCTGCTTTTATCTTTATTATTTCTTTTCTCATGACTGTTTTGTATTAATTTTTTTTCCTAGGTTCTTGAGAGGTGAGCTTAAATAACTGAAGTGAGACTTTTATTCTTTTCTAATATTTGCATTTAGTACTACAAATTTCCCTCTCAGCACTGCTTTGGCTGTATCTGATAAATTTTGATACATTTTAATTTCATTTCCATGGAGTTCAATGTATGTTTGATTTCCTGTGAGACATTCTCTGTGACCCTTAGATTATTAAAAAATTTGTTGTTTAATTTCCAAGTATATGGAGATTTTCCTCTTATCTTTCTGTTATTTATTTATAATTTTATTCCATTGTAGTCAGAGAACATACTCTTTATGATTTCAATTTTGTACATTAAATGCAGTTTTGATGCACTGCATAATTCTGCATTTAAACATGGGTTTTAAATTTTTGTTTATTGCAGTAACATTGGTTTATAACATTGTAAAAATTTCTGGTGTACACCATTATACTTCTATTTCTGCATAGATTACATCATGTTCACCACCAAAATACTAATTACAACCCATCACCACACACATGTACCGAATTATCCC